TGGAATTTGTACAAGCAATAATTTTCGGTCGATAGCTGGAAATTTATTTATAGTTTTATTTTGAAGATACTACATCTTTAGCTGTCAGATACATCTTTTCGCTTCTTAATTTGTAAATCAAATCAAAATAAGGGGAAGTTTTGTAATGTCAAACTCAGCGAGAATTGGTATCTCAGACCAGAAGTGGTATATTTAATGGAACAAATCTAGTTGACAACTTAAATTTTTGTCAAAATTTCTTTTTTCATATTTTTATTTTATGCATTCTTAGGCTATTTAAAAATGAATCTTAAAAATTTGGCAACAGGTTCTCAATAATATTTTCATATTTATTTTGACAAAATGCTTATTTCTTTTTAAAATTTTGTTTCGTGATGGTTTTATAATTTTATAATGATGACTTTTCATAATCCTAAGAAAACTAAATTATGTTATTTCCATCTTGGAGTTATTATGGTAAATGAAAGTCTCATGAAAACTAAATCTACTACTATCCGAAAGGTAAATGCCCTGAACACTGGTAGTTCAATCTGCTTCAAATCACGGCAAAAGAGCTGGCTATATGAGAATTTTCTCCGTGTAATAACGTGAACACTATCCAGTTTTCTTTCAAACGCCCTCTACAAAGGCACAGGCAGGTAACTCTCGTGTGCTTTGTCTTAATTTAATAATAGATAATATTAGTTTGGTTAAGATACAATAACACGCCAAACAAATATTAATTTAGAAGTCAAACAACAAAAATCAGCGTTATATTTTCAGTATTTAAATATAAAATATAACGCTAATTTTTGTTGTTTGACTTCTAAACTAATATTAGTTTGGTTGTTATTCAAATTTCTGAAATAAACTGATTCTAGTCAGTTTTGCTTAAATGACAAAAACTGAGTGACTAAGAATCAGATTGGTATGGATCTTCTGATTGCGAAAAAGCACACGAGGGGTATCTACTTAAGAGAAGGAATGTCTTTATAAATAATTTACTAAGGGAAACTGGCTCGTTTTAATGCCAAATATCCTTGAAATAAGAAAACATTCTCGTATAACTATTTTTTCATAGAAGCAAATGATTCGAGGGCTTCACGTCTGAAAAAGGGAACCACTTCGTGGACACATTTTAAAGACATTTCAAAGGAAAACTGGCTCGTATTTATCTGACATTTGGGGAAACTCGCACGCCTGTGAAATTATTATAAACTATTAACAGCCATTCTCACAATTATAAATTCATTATAATCAGGATTTGGCGATTGGGTCCCCTAATTCGCAGTCGCCCTTTAAAAGTGGAAGTATACAAGGTATTTTCTCCCTCTTTTCGTGGTGTAATTGGAAGTATATATGACGCTTGTTCGAGATGTCCAGGTTCAAATCCCAGCGAGGGCAGTACATACTTTTAACGTCTTCTACTTAAAAAAATGACTCTGCCGTGTATTTTCCAATTAGCTTTATGATATTGTGTAATAATATGTCGTAAGAGGTGCGTATGTTTTGAAAGATTCTTTTAAAATCTTGTTATTTTAGCCAAACTTCTAAAAAATAAAGAAAATATATCTTCAAATTGCCTATCCAATTTAAGATTATCATTATTTTTCTGTTACTGCTTATTCCAGTTGCTGAAATTAAGCATAAAACAAAACTCATTAGGAATAATAGGTGGGTGCGTTTATTCCTGACATTTAAACCTTTACTACCGTACTTCCATCACCTCTGTTTTGGGCACAAATGGCCAAAGTGTAATTTATTCGAATTTTAATGAAAATGACCTAATTGCCATAGAACAGTTTCCATGGTCTTAATAACTGCCTTTTTTTCCTCCAGTCACTCGAAAGGAATTTCACATCGAGAAATGAAATTTTATTATTGTTCCAGTACACTGGATGAAGCAGTATCAATGATTTAATTGAAATTTTATCTTCGATTTTCTTGTGACTGTGCAGATTCTAATGCACGCCATATGAATCGCACAGTTAGAATAAGTATGTAAAAACTATAACTTATTTTCTTCATCGTATCAAATGTTTAAAAGCGTTTTGCTATATAAAATGATTTGGGGGAATTCTTGTTTTAATTTTTTTGTCTAGTATACATATTGAGTGGCATTTTTCTACATATCAAAAATTAAAACAAAATTATAGTAATAATAGTATTAGTCATAATGCCCTCGTATATTTATTTTTAGCAATTCAGAATGTTAATCTAATTTGAGAATTTATATAGTTTCTCGGCCTTGATGGCAAGCAGATTACCATTTGAGAATGACTACTTTAAGCTAACAGCAAGTTGTCTTGAGCGTCTCGCCTGCAATTTTCTGCGTAAACTCTCTTGCGTTAAAATGATTTTGATGGGCCCTAACGGTATCGAAATCCATGATTACACGAAAGTACTTTTCTAAATTACTCATTCACGGTTTTCAGGCTAGTTAATGCGCTATATGTGAATTTTATATAGCTTCTTGTTTCCTTTAGAGCACTTTTAATTACTGTTCATATTTATTAGTATACACGATCCCTTTATTTAAACATTAACAAATGATGAAACATGGATGTAAAATACCTGTCCAAAATTGCTTAAACATTAAATTTAATACCCTGACTTCAATGTTTATATTATAGGAACAAACATTTTCCATCTTTATATTTAATTTTAATTGCTGGTGTACATGAGAAAGCTCTAATCAAAATTTTAAAGGCCTGGTGTAAATATTAATTGGTAATTAAATATTAATAAGATACATAAGTCGAATGGATATTCCTAAAACATGAATTTTGTCTTTAAACTGAGTTAAAAATATTTAATTTACTGTACATTTTTAAAATGTAACATTATTTCGTTTTACAGTTTTATTTATAACTGCAACTGATAAATACATATAAATAAGCAAACCTTTTTTTTATCACCTTAGGTGCTATTAATCTCTCCCGTCACTTTTCAAATTGTTGCCACCAATTGTTATCGCCATTTATTATTTCCGAAATCGTTTCAATTCGTTCCAAAATTAGTTAAGTTTCATAATTCTGAAATTAGGTTGCTTTTAAACAATTTATGATTTTGCTGTTTAATTTTATGTTACGTAAATGCGAAAAAGTGGTGTTTAATAGTTAAGTTAAAAAACGTTGTGTTAAAAGTGAGTCCAAGAACAGGTTATTAAACTACGAGTTCGGCTAAACAACAAACCCTTTGATGCAACGTTAAAGTTTGAATTCTCTCAACTTTACCACTTTTAAAATAGACGATATTTAATCGTATCAGACGACATTTAAGAAAACAAATAATAAGTTGGGCTAAATATGTTTATAAAATATATAATGTTTAAGATTACATCATATTTTCCATCGAATATTGATTTAGAAGTGAGTGAATAGCCTCTGTCTGTGCTTACTGAAACTGTTATACCGTCTTTAAATATCGAATAAAATAAATCAATCAAGTTCGTGCTTCAATAATCTTTTCTAATTCATGATTTTGAAGACTAATGGTAAGAGTACAGTGAAATATGGATTTCCATCTATAACGTTCTAATGCATAGATTGCTAAATCCAAATAAATCAATTAATATCGCCTCTTATGGGTGTTGGTTGGCATAAACCAACACCCATTTCATCTTCACCTACTGATGAAGATAAATGATTCAAACTTGATATCACACCCATAATTCACTAACTGATGAATTATAAAGTGGAAAAGTAATGTGCTGTGATTGGGGAACATTTTTTGTTGCTGTTTCCTGTCTTAGCATGAAATTAACACTCTTAAAATAAGGGTAGGTTTCATTGTATGTTCATCACAAGTAACGGTGATAAAAACTTTATATCAGTTTCTATACTTTTAGAAAACATGATTATTTTGGAAAACATAATTATTATTATTCTAAAGTACTGATAATGATTATCCTTTTTAAATATGCATTAAAACTATTTGTTATATCGTAAAAATATAAATAAAATAGTTTTATGGTACTAGAATATTTGCAATTATTGCACTGCAAATTTATTCAGGTTACACTATAAGGTATTTCTCTCACTTTCCTAGCATGCCTTCGTGGTGTAACGGTAGCACGCTGGGCCGGTATTCCAGAGGTCCGTGGTTCGATTCCCGGCGAAGGCGGTTGCATATTTTTCATCTTTTCTGCTTCCAGTTAACCTAATGACTCTACAACACCTATTCCTCTTGCTGCTTGCTATTAGCTGCTTTTCCACTCAGTATTTCTCTTCATTTATTTCTTCATTTTTTTTCTTCATTTAAGTCATATTCATTTCATATTATTTCAGTCATATGACATCTAAAGTTACGTTTTCTCTGAACGTTTGAATCTGAGAAGACAGATGTTTAACAATTATTATTATTTTGCTTTTTACAATCATTGTCGTATTGTAGGCTTTTTTGTCGTTAGCATGGGAATTTTATCTTAATTCTTTCCTGTAGTTTCATTCCGTCACCTTTCACCAGGTTAGAAAGTCCTCCACGAAGGCATTCCTTTAGGCAGATAGCCCTCGTGTGTTTTGCCATAATTAAATAATCCAATCCAATCCTTTCACCAGAATACAAGTTAATTTCAGCTTAAATAGCTATCAGAACTGTATTTACAGAGAATAACATGGAAAAAATCTGTTAAACGTATGATTACAGAAGGCATCGGCTGGAGGTAAGTTAATTTAGCTTATGTATTTTATTGCTTTAAACGCTGACGTTCTTGAAAGGCCGCAAATAGTGGTGGCTATTACTTGTAAATCTTTAGCTAAAATTACGACTAATGCTCTAATAAACTTTTTAGTTTAGTTAAGTTATTTCTTTTTTGTGCTTAGTTAGACTTGTACTTATTTGTTAAGATGATAATTCATTGAATGAGGAAGGTTAAGCGAGTGAAATTAATTTGCTAAGTGGATTTAATCTTACAATATTTGATACATTTATCTATAACTATAGGTAAAACATGTAATCAACAGCGGGTGTTTTTCACGTATATGAGAGAAGGAGAAGAGAAAAAGTCATTTCAAAGAATATTTGATGTTTAGAATAAAAGCATTTATTTATTCTTATATTAAAAAGTATTCTGACATAACAGAAAGTCTATTATTTCTAACATACTGCAGTCTCAGCATGTTTCATTTTTGGCATTATTCTCGAACGCAAACTGGACTTTTAGTGGATACAACCTGAAAAACAAAAATAAACTTTAATTTTTCAATTGGAAAATGAACCTTTGAATATATAAGTTAAAATAAAAAAGTAGTTATCTTTATATTAAGAAAATCAATAAATGCGCTTACATTTTGAAATTTTTTGTGTCACTTACAGTGAAAGCTGGCATTTTATAGTTGCAACTGTAAGAAATATTTCCATTTGTTAGTTACTCATATGGGCCTAAACAAACTTGCATGAGGAATATTGAAGCAGTTAATTGTGGCAAAATGAAAACCAAAGCTACTTTTATTCAACTTATTATCTATAAATTACTTTTATTAATATTTGAAAACTCATTAAGAGTAGAAATTTGTGGAAATAATTCAGAACTAACGTGTTTTTGTATATAATAGATACAAAAGAAAAATATTTGAGCTTGGAACTTTTTTAATGGGAAAAACAATAACATAAAAACTTATGTTTAGTTTGTACTTAAAGCAGCCTACAGGCTTGACAAACATGATAAAAACTTGCTTATTTTTTAAGTTTATCTAACCACTTTATGCTCGAAACAATTCAAATGATAATTATCTTCCGGCACATTATATTACTGCCGTTATCAACATTTAAATGCACAGCATTATGTCTCAGAGGACAAGAGCTCGAAAAGACAAGACCTTTAGTTTGCTATTATACTGTTTGCGTAAGTATTACTTCAAATCATATGGATATCTAAAATTGATTATTCACCCCTGTAATCAGAAACATTGTCATTTTTCTCTCGAAATTACGTTAGAATTTTACATGAATTTAATACCAATTCTGTATTCTACCACTTTTCGTAATGTGAAGTTCACATCAATTTTTCAAACAAAATTTACAAAAATATATATGTTTAAAACTTTTAAGTAAAGCAGAAATTTTACAGCAAAAACAGTAAGTACTAACTGGTGGTTTAGACACCTTACATATTCACTTAAAAAGTGTTTTTGATACTTAATTTAAAAACCTGTAATCAGATCTATGTTAATACATCTCATTTCCCCCTTTTTTTCGAATGCACAGTTTGTATTACAACCATTAAAATTTTGTTCATTTTGTGCAATGTATTTTGTGCATTTGTCACTCATTTGCTTCAACTGTTACAAGTTAGAATATGTTCTGATATTAGAAACTGTAGTAAGCTCCGTGCGTGGTTTGTGTTCTGTTATAAATCACAGGTTTCGCTGGATCGAAAATAAAGGATTTGTTTAGATATCGTACGAAGAGATTCAATTCAATATAAAAAGTTTGGCGCATTAAAAGATCCGACAGAAATTATAGCTGCTAAGCTTATTTGCAACATAACAGGCACTTTATTTAACTGTAATGTAACTAGAAACTCGAGCAGATATTCTATAAAATAAACACTTAAAAGAATGAATGCATCTTAATTTATACATTCATAGATCATTGAATCCACCAGTCAGTATTGGTTTATATCACGGACCTGGAGGTGAGCTATACATGTTTTACATATAAACATGAAATCATACTATTGACATATAAAATACTGAGAGTGCGATTATACAGGGAAAAGAGATTGTTTATAAAAAGATTTTTTTCGGGAATAAATTTGTTTTTAGCAACTATTTTGAAGTTTAATTTAATTTTATAATTTATTTGATCTTAGAGAAAGCGTTTCCTTATTTTATTAACTTAAAGTAATGTTTATACCAAGCAGAAGATATTTCTAATTTTCCTTGCATTATTTAAAGTAGATTAGGTAGGTTCCAACTGGTACTAAAAATGCGCCTATTCCTAAGTTTCTTGACGGCACCTAGGATTAATTATGTCAATTTCTATATGGCATACTAAGTAGTACTTGTTCCTGATTTTTATCATATTATCCTAATATTACCTTATGTAAATTGCGTACGTTCCAATACAATATTCTCTTCACTTTGTAATTATTAAGTACCGTAGCTACCTACCTTAATTTCGAAATATCTGAATTTAAAGTTCTTTAAAATTAAGCTAAATTTCTGCATATCCGTACTAATTTAATGCACGTGTGTGGACGGATAAATAAAGGAAATTTATCCAAAAGCAAATTTCTAAAATTTAAATAAATGACAAAGTTGTATAAAATAGTAACTCTTAAATAATTTTAAATAATTAACGTACATGAATGGTTTTGAAAATAATATTTAGTTAAAATAAAAAATGAACATTTTATTATGCTTCTTTTCTTATATTCACTTTCCTTTAGACAGAAAAGCATAGTGTAATGACAGCTATGATAAGATGTTCAACCCACTCTACGAATTCATATACACGCATATACTATACATTCAATGTAATCTAACCGTTTGTTCAGACATTTCAGTGCCCATTTGTGTATCTCTTGTCATTTAAAATTAATTTTAATCTTTGCGCTCTTCTTAAGTAACTAAAAGCCTTTGTGTGATAACATTATCATGCATTGTTTTTGTCTTCATCCATCCACTCTTTTATGTAGATCATTCCCATTGAAGTATGAGTATTCCCATAAGTATTGAAAGGTTTTATTTATAGTTTTAAAACCTCGACAACAAAATTTGTTTTAAGAAGTCACGGTGGTTTTAACACTTTAATCGAAAATTTCTTCTTACTTTACACAACTAGGGGCGCATTTTTAAACAGTTATGAATTCGCTTTAAGATTTTAACTGCATTCGAAACAGCAGTTAACACACTGGTTGCATCAATTGGTAGGTTGTTTCAACATATTTCACAATTTTATATTCAGTAAGTCTGAGAACCCTTTTTTGTAAATGACAATGCACGAATAATCCAAACACGGATTTCAATTCATGTAACGCGTATCATAAAAGAAAAGCAACTTTAGTTTGCATTTAGACATTAAAAACGTTCATAAAAGTAGAGCTTAATTTTATTACAAAGTTGTTATTTTCTTTGTGTATAATTTTAAACATAGTAATTTTTTATTTTATTTTGCATTTTTACCACTACTTGTTGCTGCTATGAACGCACAATTGAACTGGATTTTGAACTGTTCTTTACTTTGTATTTCTTCCTTTATATATATTTACATAAAAGCCGTAATAAAAGGGAAATTGTATTATTTGATGCTAACCGAATTTAGAATGCAGATTTATAAGACCTGAATTGATTTTGATATCATATCAGAGTTTCATTAAATAAAGACTAAAATAAATAAAATAAAAATAAAATAAAATAAAATAAACGCTAGTAAATTTTCAAACAGTACTCAAAAGAAGTAACTTCCTTTTACTAATGCAAAATTAGTAAGAAGCTTGAAATGTAAAATTTAAATCAAAATTTTATGGAATATAAAGTTGAAACACTTGATTCTTCGAAATAGTAGCAAAGTATTACTTAAATGCAAAGCTTATACTGATTTCAGATACTGATACCGAAGGAATATGAATAGTTTTTTTAATAGTTTTAAAACACTAAACGGGTACAAATTGATGCCGAAAAACCTTTGCTGAATTAAAACTCAAAGATGCTATTTCCCTTTTGGATATTAGTTTTGATGAAAATTAAAAATCGCGTTTAAAAGTAAATAATCAATGGCAGGAAAGCATATGATAACAATTTTGAAATTAATATAGACAAACCAGTATCACTTCTTGTTTAAAATTCTTTAATTAACTGAACTCTGGTAAATGTCATATTTTAAAAATCACATTTTTTAAAATGGGAATTTTTTAATTCGGCCCTAAATATTCACTTGTGTTTGAATTAATGTAAAATAATTGCAGAAATACAGTGCGTATTTCCAAATAAAAATATTCCGGCCGTTGAAACACTAATGTATGGATAGCGTAAGATTCAGAAATAATATTATTCGATTATATGACGGCTCCTGTCGGATATAATGGCAGACAATTCATTCCTAATGAAACATACATGCTAATATAGCCGGAACTTAAAGAATGTTATTTCAAACTTACCTCCTCCGTCTTAACGCATTTCAGCCCTTCTACGCAAGGACATCTCAAATAATATTTTGCAGTTGATGGGGGATAAGGATCACAAAGTTCACCTTAAAGACAATAATATAGTTTATTTGAAGCATCTTGAATAAAAATCAAGTAAAAGAAATATAAATGGAATTTTTAAAATTAGCTTCATCATATTGCATTGTCATCGACGAACACAGTGTGTAAAAAATGTGAACTCACTAGCTTATCGGAAAGTAGTTTAAAACTCGATGACAAAATTCCATTCTCCGTGAAATATCCCGAATAAACTAAATAAAAACTTATAAAAATATAACATAACAACATATACGTAAATGTAATGAATGTAATTGCAAAAAAAAAAAATAATAATTAGGAAAATGATCCTTCAGCGAACCGAATTTAAAAATACCCTCTTTCACCCCCTTTTCAAATTTTTGTAGGAACTTGTAGGTGAATGTATCAATATGCACTAAAATGTGCACAGAATTATTAAAACAGAATACTGTTACGCACAGAAATATTTGCATATTATTGTACGACATTGCTATGCAGCCGTCTCAGCTATCCAGTTAATTTAGATGACTAAATCACGTGCTTGATCCCGACAAAATGAATATAAGTTGCTCTTTCTGCATGTGTTCGAAAACGTTTACTTTAGCTGCTGAGACAATATAAGGTAAATAATTTTCAATGGTTAATAAAAGTAGATATTGCAGTGAAAAACCTCTTTTTACTTAAAATTACCGTTATAGTTACTGTGATTTTTATAGCAATACTCATACGTAAAGTAGAAAAAATTTCATCGGTTCATTTTTAAAGAATTATCTCATCTTTTCTTTCATTCTTTCGAGGTAAAAATGTTATTACATGTAGCTTTGAAATGAAAAATCTGTAGTTTGAACTCTAGCAAGAGAGAGATGATTCCTCACGATTCCTGGATCTAGAAATTATAATGATCTCTACACTGGTTTGCGAATTAAAAATATGATGAGGAGCGGTAATTCGTGCCCACTTAAATATGGCCGACTGGGTCTCACCTTCTTTAATCCGCCTTAAATCTTTAACATGCATTTCTCTGTGTGTATAGTTAGAATGCGACTTTTGAAAAATGCCCATGCCTATGAATATAGCTAGCAAACATTTTTAAATGAATTAACCTATGGTAAGTATCAAATTATTAAAATTATAAAATTAAAATTTTATATTTTTGATATGAAATTTGACTTGAGATTTGCTTTCGTCTGTAGTTGTATCAGATATCCATATTGTTGACTCATCTCGGTAATGAAAATGTATTTGCTATATCTATTTTCTTCTAAATCATCAACGAGCTGTGAAAACAGTGAAACATATGAAAGCTACTGTCTTCCTTAGCTTATATTTAAGTAAATTATTCACAGCTGACCTTCTTTGGCCATTTTTCTACAAACTCCTTTTCTCCATTCTGAAATACCACCAGTGCAACAATAGCCGTCAGGACAGTCTACCTGCGAGTAACACCCTCTCTCAGAAGCGGAGACCTATGAAAAAAAGCAAATTCAAATAAAAATATTTTTAAAATTGGCGATCGATAAATTGATACCATTTATTAATTCATGATCTCAAGTTTAGTTTGATTATTCTAAAGTACGCGAAGATTATGAACGTAAGAGAATTAATAATTTCATGGAGTATTTTCTAAGGAAAATTGCTCATGTACCTCACGTTACATAAGGAATAAAACCTCGTAAACGCCATATAATCATCCATTCGCCGATATTTGAAAATCGGTCAAATTACCAGTGTTCATAATCTTTACCGTTTTGCTGCTGATAAACCCTCATGCCAAGTTACTAACATACTTAAGTTATGACAACAAATATATAAAAAAACAAATATATAAAAAACAAATATATAAAAAATATATGTTATATTTACTTTAATAGTCTCTGTTTACTCCGAGATGTTGTTGCAAACGCATTAATGAACTCATGATGATATAAAGTATTTAACATTAAAATAAAAATATTTGTAACCTTTATATGCCTTTTACTTCCTTGTACGAAGTAAAAGAGAAGTATTGTAAAGACGAAAATTTCAGGCATCATATTTCAACGAAAATATCCATTTTCACCGCTATCGAATGCAATTTAACGATGTTTTTGTCCGACATCTGTACGTAAGGACAGAATAAAAGACTCTTTTCCTCCAAAAGAATTATAAAACTGATTTTAAATAAATGTCTTTTAAGAGACAATGTTTTCGTGGCGTCTGTACGTATGTATGTATGTGTTTCGCATAACTCAAAAACGAGTAGCCACAAAACGTTGAAATTTTGTATATAGGACTGCTATAACATGTAGATGTACCTCGTTTTTGGATGGCAATCGGCCCCACCAAACATATATATATATGTGTGTGTGTGTGTGTCCACTTTGTTACCCGGTTCGGTGATCTCAGTTTCTTCACTCTTATATGTTTGTAAATTGTACATTTTTTGCTTTAAAAATGATTGAATTATGTTTTTCTTATCTTCTGATTAAGGTTTTTATGCCTATAGTAAATCTGTATGCAATAATTTTAGAATTATCAACAATTTTATAGTTGTTTAAGTGCCGCTAAGCCTAATAATTTTTTTGATGGCGGCCATTGCTTGTTTACATTTGAAACAGAAGAATAGTGGATTTGTTGCCAATCTAGAGAAACTTAGCTTCGCAACAACAAAGGTAACGCCTTCATTTATTATTACGAATTAAATCATGCTTAATCCTTTCTGGAATTTTTTCGAGGAAATAAGTGTTTAAGATTTACTTCGTAATATTTAATACAGATATTTTGAGTTTTTATGTATTTTTGCCTTGTCGCGAAGTGAAAACTGAATTAATTGAATGAGAAATACTCAATCGTCTGTGAAAAACTGTTTCTTTTTTTGTTTTGTTTGCTTAATTTCTTTTATGCATCGTCTTAGATTTATTATAGTATTTGACTAGAACATGTGGTAACGATTAGATAATTCTTCAAATGATATAAATTTTGTGCATTCTGAGTTATAATATGAACGAAATGCAACGCTGTTAGGGGAAACTGGCGTCACAGTGTCGCTATGGTAAACAAATGTAGTGAATTTTAAAGAGTGCATATATTCTATTGTGGTTTATGCGCTATCGAAGAAGTAGATTTTATTCAATCCAGTAAGTTTAAATGAAATGCAAGAAAAAATGCGTATAATTTAATATTCTATACAAGGAAGTCATGTGATGTACACATCAGATTTTTTATTACTGCGTTTGTTAACGTGTTTTTTTCTGCTCAAAATTAAATTAATGCTTTAATTGTCATTGAACGTACAATGAATTCATACGTGCCTTTTAAGCCTGTTGGCCTGTTCCAGCAAATAAATTCGTACTATATATAGTTATGACTAATGACAAATAAATACAATTTGAATTCGTTTAAATGTTTTTTGAATTACCGACCTAATTAATATATTTTTTCTGCATAAATAAATAATCTATGAAAATTTAGAAATTTCAAATTAATATGTTTGCTCTACAGATTGTACTTTAAGGATCAGATTATCATTTGATGAGTAACTTATTTTCCAAATAAAAAAAATTAAATGTACTTACAGTATAAATTACGATGAGAAGGCAGAACACTAAGAGCTTCATTCTTCAATGAATTCAATCTTTTATTCTTCTTCGATAATGCTTATAGAAACTAACGGTCTAGAATGAAAAAAAAAAAAATAAAATAATCTTCATAAATGGAACAAATTTCTCCAAGTAATTCTTATACGCTTATCTGTGAAACTTATAATCTGCAAAATGTTCACAGATGTTTATTATCATTTTGAAGTATGATCAAGATGAGATCAATCTGCTTTTTCTATGAGAATGTACAGAGAATAAGTTATCAGTAGACTTATAAGAGTACTTGGGAGAAACAGGTGTGCAAAAATGTATTTATCTTTTAAGCAGCGTGATTAATATAATTTGGGAAACGGGGCGTATTTCTGAATATTTTTTCTTAAGAAATCCTATAAAACTGCGGTTTTGGAAAGAAAATGTGAAATGTAAATTTTACCGGCGTTATTCTGGTGTTAAAAATTAAATAACAGATACAGTTTAGTTTAATTTAATGAAATTGTTTTGGGAATATAGAGTAATATAAGACAGAAATGTTATCATAAATTAATAAAAGCAACCCCTTATTATTGTCCCTAATATTCATAAGAGCAGTAACATCCGAAACCTTAAACTGCCTAAAAAGAGTTGGTATGTTCCCTTGTAGTTGAACCCAGATTCAAATATAGGCGAGCGGGTTGACTGCATTAGAGTTTTGAAGGTTTTTCGATTGTGTAATGGGAATGAACCAGTGGTCTCTTGGAAACGTCCTCTATGAAGACACTATTTTGTTTTGATAGCTAGCTCTCGAGGACTGTCGTTATCTAAATTATCTCCCAAACTAATGCCTGTTGCAGCCACACTCATTCTTGCATCAAAGTTGCTCTTAAAACTTGGACAGCTTTCTGAACCAGTTCGCATATTGCAGTTGCTCTTTCTAACATCCCAGAATTGTTCTTTCATTAAATTCTGGAGATCTGGCTCAGCAAGTCATACGTCTAACCTTTCTCACTTTGAAGGTATTAGTCCACCTGTTGAGATCTAACCAGATGAACTTTATCATACATAAAAAGAGGCTGTGAGCTAGTTGATTCCTGAAAATCGCGCCTAGGACTCTTACCTCTAAGGAGTCGGGCCTTTGTTAAACATACGGAATGGTATGCAATGTAATATACGATCTACATTGGGCGTTGTGGCTATCGAACACATTTGCCGAGAAATTCAAATCCTGTCATTTGTAACTGTTTTCACAAATTGGAGATTAAAATAGGAAATACACTCATCAGGAATCTCTTGCAACTTTAATTTGGGATTGACCTGCAGCAAATCTACAAATTATTCTGTACCTCATTCTTTCATCTAAACGTTAATAGTTACTTATTCTACCTCAGTGTATGTGACAGTAAACAAGATTTTAGAACGAATGTCATATCATCGCTGTTGTATACTGAAGAACTAGGCGCGGATCAACAAGTAACCACATTTTATGGTAATTACTCTCGAAGTGCTAGTAGAACATATAGGAGCCGGATCATATTTCGATGCCAGTAATATTGGAGTGATATTTGATAATATGCTTTCTAATTTTGATTCAGTATTTCTTGAGAAATTTGGAAAAAAGGTATGTTTGTTCTCTTACTTTTGAACTGCGGATTATTACGGTATTTATTATGCATATATATCTTGAGCCAAGATGCTTGTATTATAGTAAAGGTTCTTCCGAATGCCTTCTATTGTAACAAATTTCATGGTATATGTATTTGCAATGGAGATGCATCTTGAAACCACAGTTGTTTCCTTCCTACAAATTTTCGCGGAATACAGCACTTTTTTGTTTCAGCCGAAAATTCCAGCTCAGAGTTTTATCATTCCATATCCGCTGAAAGGTAAAGTGACAGTAGTGATTTCTCATACTTTTGAAATATAAATCTACCATAATAAAATAATAAATAATTATTAATTCTTATAATAAACTGTGTATTACGATAGCTGGAAAGTTTTGTTTATAGCTTTGAAAATGATAAGTTCATTGTTATATTTCGCTGAATCCCCCTCGATATATTTCGATGAATTTTTTTCTAAAAGATTACGTGTCAAAGTCCATTAAGACATTTTAGTTACTAAACATGTTTAAGAATATGAAAATAACATAGTGGGTTTACATTTTAACATCTATATAAATAAAGAAAGGTGTCTTTGCCTTTCACTCAAATGTTAGTTTTATTCCAATTTTGATGAAATTTGGCTAACTCGACCTTCAGAACAAGAAAAAAGTCAGTGTTACATACAATTTTACAAAAACGACACCACGAAGTCTACACTTTTATATATTTTATATGTTATGCTGATTTAACGAACGTTTGATTAATCAGCAATTTAAAAGCTTTGTGTTACCACTCTGCGAAATGTCAGATACTTTAAATTTAATTAGAAAATTCAGAGTTGTAAGTTGTGTTACCATTCGGTAAAACGTAATTTATTTATTTGCCTTTCAAATTTTATAAACAAACTCAGCGATTTAAGAGAATTGTGTTGCCATTTCCCGAATTAAAATATGTTTATCTTTCAAGAGGCAGTGTATTGTGGTTCAGGAAAACATAAGGTATTTAAGTTTTCTTTCAAATTTTTCCGTTATTAATTAACAAACTAACGTATTTAAAAACAGTAAAAGCAGATTCATTTCAGTTATTATTAATTACCAGCTGGACCCGTGGAATTCTACTATCTAAATTCTTGAAGAATTACTTTTTAATTTTATTTTCAAATTTTGCAGCTCAATGCGCAAAATTCTTGACCTCACAGTATAAGGTATTTTTTCCACTTTCCTAGTGTCCTTCGTGGTGTAATGGTTCTGCACGCTGGGCCGGTATTCTAAAGGTCCGTGGTTCGATTATCGGTGAAGGCGTTTGCTATTTTTCATCTTTTCTGCCTCTAAAAAATCCTAATGACTCTACAACAGGTCTTTTCAGTTTAGTTCATTAGCATTTCTTACATTATCTATCTATATATCTCTCTCTATATATAAGAGTGTCCATTTGTTTGTTTTTGGGTGTGTAATTCATAGAAATCTACAGTTTTATACGGATCTTGATGAAATATTGCACAGTTGATCTTCAAAGCATACTGTCAACATAAAATTTCGAAAATCTATGTATGGAGTCCACACTCAAGGTGTGTACATTGTTCTACTCGCGACATACATCTTGACCCAAAACAGTAGTAAAACATTGCCCGCATGAGGTTTCGAAAAAACTACCCCCATCCCCCCAATGAAACCTCTTCACTCTCCGTAAAGCTCGAACAACATCGAGGACTTAGCTAGTGAAATAAATAGTAATAGTGAATAGTAGCAGATACAGAATAGTATAAAATAATATTGAATAATATAGAAGAATAATAGCCAAATAAATGTCCGCCCTTGGAGAAATGATTGCAACTCTACATTTTTGTACAAAGCAACAATTACCGTGTTTGACCAATAAAAAGACGCACTTTACTCTTTTATGCGTATTTTCTAAAAATAGCAATACAAATACGCATTTTACTCTCTTATGCATATTTTCTAAAAATAGGGTACGTGTTAAAATAGAAGATATCCGCCAATAAAATTATATTTAGTATTTTTATTTAAGAAAACTTTTTGTTGCAACAGAAAATTACTATTCACTATACATAAAATAACAGATGCCGTGAATTACATATAACACTATTTTATATTTAATTTGGAATCATAACTACTGCGTTGTATTTTTACAAATGTCTCCAATAATTACAAAAAAAAATTCTTCAACATTCAGCATTTGATTCGATTTACGAACCCTGAAAACCTTAAATATTATTACATTTTAAAACAAAAAAAAAAAATTGGTTATCCTTCATTCGGAGATAAAATTTAGGGAATTTGAAAGACAGTCTGTCTTTCAAATATTTTCTCAATAATTTTATAAGAAACAATAAATAAAGTAATGCAAGCTGTGTATTACTGCAACGGATATTAAGTGTAACAAAATATATTTTGTTTAGAAAATTTATAACTTTATCTTGAGCACTATGTTTTTTTAAAACTTCAGATACAAAGTGTATTTTAATTATTCTTTTTGGCATTTTAAAACTTTTAATACAAACACTGGTCAAATTTTCGACGGTTTAAATTCTTTATAAATAATATTTCTGTAGATGAAAGTAAAATATTCGCAAAGAAGATGAACTGTCGATATTTTGAGAATTATTTATTTATATTTCATGTTAAATTTTATTTTTCAGTTTATTTATTTTCTGAGATCGCACGTCACAATCACAAACAAACCATCTCCATATTCTTTTTATTATTATTAAACACAATAATGATGAAATGAACCATCTATGTTTTAGTAAAATTAAAGGGTATATGTTTGTATTAGTTACATAGAGAAGTTTCAAAGCGACAGCATATCTAATATCTCTTGAGTTGTTGATCTTAAACCTAGTATTCCCATTCAAGAAACACTACCCGAAAGCTTGAAAAAGTATCAATACAAAATTTTGGATTCAGAAATGTAACATAAAACGGCCACATTCCAATTAATTGAAACTAATTCTCCTAGCTGATGTGCAACATATCTCGGTTTAATCAAACTTGAGAATGTGGAAGTTTCTGTCTCAGCATATAAGACACTGAATGACTGCTGTGAAATGATTTCATAAATCGATCTTCTTTCCGTTTCTAAAAAGGAATTTGTCTTTGAACTTTGACATCAAAATATCTATGCTACCAAAAGAATCAAGAAACGTAAAGAATGTCAGTTTATTGACACAAAGCACGTCCTTCTGACATTTAACACGCCTGATTTGCTAAGGAATACAAAGGCTGGATATTTATGGTGCCCTGTAGGACCTTATATTCCAAACCCAATTCATTGTACCAGTGCGAGAGTTTCGTCCATTCAAAAATATTCTGTCGTGAAAACCCTGCATATGCTTTATGCTCAACAGTCGGCCAAGACAGTGAAAACTCCACCTTTGAGCCACTATATGATACAGCAAAGGTTGCCACTCGGCATTTTCTAGGTCCTATCCCAAGTACATATCTGAAAAGCAAACTAAAGTCTTCAAAAAATAGTCTTACCTAGAAACTAAAATAATAGTATAAAAAACTTAACCACAGTATAATATATCATATGCCA